TAAGATTTTTTTAATACAAACAGTTTTTAAATGCCTTTTGAGAATGTTTATCAAGAATCCTTTTGAAAGACTACCAAAGGATTCCTACCAAATCCAGAGCAGAGCATTTCCAGAATTTTTTAGAAAATATTTAAGAATTTTTAAGGATATTTTTGAAGGGCAATCACTGGATTTTTTTAATATTTTAATATTAAATTTGATTTTAACAAGACTATAAAAAAATTACGAATATTTTTAAAGGGAGTATTTTTGAACGTCTATAAGACGAATATTCTTAAATTACTGTCAGAGAACTTTTTTCAAATTTCGGTGAGTGATTTTTTTGGAAACATTAGGGCTATGGCAGGATTTTTTAAGGATATGTACAGGAGGATTTTTTAGGAAAATTTTTAATGATTTCGGACGATTTGTTAACCATGTTTTATTAAAATATTTCTAAAGGACAATAAATATTTTTATGAACATCTATGAATGCCTTTCGAAGAGATTTGTTACAAGAATATTTGCGAAGGACTATCTGAGAATTCCTAGACATATAAAAAAAAAAAACTTTTTGTAAATTTTTGTAGGATAATCGAAGAATCCTTTTTAAAGGCAGGAAGTAGAAAGTTTTTTTTATAAATTTGATGGATTGTCACATAGAGACCTTTTTTACATCGGATCGGTGGTCGAGAGAGATATTTAGATATACCAAGTTTGAAAAGAATCGCCGAATTTTTTCGAATACGATGTCACGTAAATAGCCGCCGCCACAGTTTATTGTCATTTGAGCCCTTTCTACGGGATTTTCCATCACTTTAGCCAAAACGTCCCAACATTCTTGACGGATATTGCCTTTAAGAGTTGAAAGTGTCTAAGGCTTGTGGACATAAGCCCAGGGCTTCAAAAAGCCCCACAAAAAGAAGTCTGAAGCGGTCAAATCAGGCGATCTTACTGGCCAGTGCAAATTGCCGAAACGGGAAATTAGGCGCCCGGGAAATGCATCCATCAACATATCGAATGTGCCACGTGCAGTGTGTGCCAATCCCCACTCATGAAGTTCCGGCAAAAATAATTCGTTGATTATTGCTTTATAGTTACCATTTGGCCCTTGACGTCTTCGAAGAAAAAAGTTCCGATGACTCCTCCAGCGAAAACAGCAAAGCCTACAGTGACTTAGAGGGAGTGTATTGCCACTTCATGAGTTACACGCGGATTTTCAGTGCTCCAGAAGCGTAAATTTTGCTTATTTACATACCCGCTAAGATTGAAATGGGGAGGATTACTTTTGCGACACCTTGTAAAAATACTGACGATTGTGACTCTTTGTGGGTGAGGTACCAGAAGGGAGGGGCCGATATCTATAATCTTCACACCAAATCATGAATGTGCGAAATTTAGAAAGAATTTGGTGTTTATTTCGCATTTTATGGGAGATATAATTTTGACCCGTTGTGGGGGAGGTACCAGGACGAGGGGACCGATATATCTCATCTTCACACTAGATATGTTCTTAATAAAAATATTGGGATGTGTGAAATTTGAAGAGAACCGGTTGCTTATTTCACATGTTCTGAGAGGTATTATTATTCAAAATTTAGACCAGTTGTGAGGGAGGTACCAGCAGGAATAGGCGGATATATTCCATCTCCATACTAGATCTTGTGTTGTTTAAAATATTAGGATATGCCACGCATGAAAAGAATCGGTAGCTCGCTTCGCCCTTTATGAGCGTCCTGGTTATTTAAAATGTTACCTCCAGTACGTACCCGAAGGAATGGTCAGTTCATCCATTTTTAATACCAGGTTTTGTATTGGCGAAAGAATTGGGATGTGCTAAATTTGAAGACCATGTCCACTTATTTCACATTTTATAAGAGAGAGAGAGAGAGAGAGAGAGAGAGAGAGAGAGAGAAAGAGAGAGTGAGATTATTCAAAATTTTGACCCTTTGTAGGGGAGGTACCTCGAGGAGAGGACCGATATTGCCCATCTCACTCCCTTGTTACACCCTTCGAGAGTTATCGTGCGCACCCCTAGATCGACTATATATGTCCTGAAACGGATTTGGCTCAAAGATACCTAGGGTATAAACCCGTTATTTCGATGAGGCTGTATTTGTAAAGGTCATATCAAATGATATATACCCTCTGTAGTCATATGGCGAGCGTATCAAAATGTAAAAAACAGCCTTTAGCGAATATTATTTATCTGCTTCTCACCTACTAACCTCCCTCAATGTGATAAGTTCAAAACTGAAAATCGTGCACTGAATTTTCCCCATTCAACATTCAATGAATTCAAATTAACAATAATTGACGCATATCTTATTGCCACAATGCCCAACAGTCACTCGGTAGCTTTCCGCAGTGTCCCTCATCCCCAACCAATCAAAAAAAGAAGAAGGACTCACTAAATCATTTCTAGTTATAGTACTTAACTGTGCGGGAGGAAGTCCTTTATGAATTATTGTTGTTTACTTTTGGTCAAATGGACAGGACTCCCTGGACTTCCGTGTACATGGATGGGCAGTACGGGGAGCCACAGGCAACAAACGTCATCCTCATCATCATCGACATCGACAGCAGCATCAGCATAATCAGTGCAGTGCGTTGCATTCGTTGGCAAACGGAGAGAAGAAAGAAGGCCAGTTCAATGCTAATGAAAACAAAACAATAAAACAAATCCATTGTTAAAGCGAAGCCAGGCTATTGCATTTGAAGCTTTGCTACGGTTTGGCATCTTTATGGTCCTCCCAAGCCACATCCCCCTCATAGAACTGGTTTTGTTTTAATTCCCTTGTACTTCCTGCAAACTGTCCACCCAATTGTGCAAGAGAAACTGTCCATAGCCCGGTTGTTGTTGCTTTATTTTTAATGCAATTTATTTTGCCCAGCGAGAGGGGGGGGGGGGAGAGGGAAGAGATTTTCTCTAAATTTGATATTCGCCTTATTACTCCCCAATATTTGAATTTGTTTTTTTTCCACCGAAATACTTGGTGGTTGTTTTTGTTTCCTTTTTGTTCATTAGATTTGGGCGCGTTGAACTGCTGGACCCATGTTTCTTGATGCTTCTTTTAGACCAGCAGCAGGACTTTTCTGCCAAGGCCTTCCTCAAACATCGCCCACCCTCTCCTATGCCTTGGCATAAAATTATAATGAAAAAAAAAGAATATTTGCATCCGTTGCATTTATTTATTTTTATTGTTGTTGTTGCTGCTACTGCTACTGCCGCTGCCGTTACTTGGCCCCACTCATTTCCAACTTTACTCAACTCCTCTACGGCATTCCGCCATGGTTTTCAGCTGTACTGCAATACACAGCCACAAAAGTTCTTGTTGCCGACCTCTCCATCTTGTGCTGCTTCTTGACGCTGCCGATGCTTGACTCTCTCGCCAGCACCCCCTTCTTAAAACTAACCAAGTCATCTTTGAACTTTTATTTTGCATTACGTTTTAGGTTATTTTTGTTGTTTTTTGTTTTTATTTTTAATTAATTAATGTGCCTGCTGCCGGCCCTTCCCGCCTGCCGACCCTCCATTCCAAGTAGATTTTCTACAACTTTTGTTGCAAACTCTTGCTCGGCGTTGTGTTCTTGTTGTAGGCTCCCTTCTTGGTCTTTACATAATTTAAGTAGTAGCAGTTGTTGGTGTTGTTGTTGTCGTTGCTTTTGCTGCTGGAAGAAAAAAATCCGGTACTTGTGCTGCTTACCTTTCAAGTTCTTCGTAAAGGCAAAAAGGAGCTGGCCCAGGCAATGTTTTGGCAAATTTGGTTGTTGCCTGGCATTGGGGTTGGGAATAATGCGGGGATTGGAGTGGGGGGGTGTTTTTGGTTTTTGTAAACAAAACAAAGTAATTCCTTGAAGTTTACATTGAAATTTTCGGCAAAGCGTTATTTATGGGGGCAAAGAGTTTTATCATCCACCCCCCACCACCCACCAAAAGCTGTTTTTTTTTTTTGCTTTTGCTTGGCAGTTAAACTGGAATAGTTTAAGGTTGTCATTTAACACACACCAGTGACGGTAAAGTGTTTCCTTGTTTTAGCTGAAGTACCCAATGACTTGTTGTTGTTGTTTTTTCTTCTTTTGGCTACGTGGAGTTTAGACGAAGTTGTTGTGACAATTATTTGTCTCTCTTCCGTTTCCTGCTGGCTCCAGCGGTTTCTTTCAAGGTAATATTTAGAGTCTTGAAGAGGCATAGGAAACAAATTTTCAAATATTTACGGAAGCGAATTTAGAGTCTCGGGGAAAGGAAACATTACCATTCCTTAGGCCATCTTAAAAAAATAGTTTTTGGGTATTAAATTTCTAATATCTAACATTCACCTGAGAAACACTCACAAATAATCCGAATTTTACAAGCCTAGCCGTCGCACAGCATTTTGTACATTTCGGCACATTTAGTACCTGTAGGCCGTTTTTGTTCGATTTTCCATCCGCACACTCCAAATTTCAGAATTTTAGCTATATCTGTTTGTTAAATAGCTTTTAACGACATTTAATACATATTAGTAATTTTCGTAACCATTTAGTTATTAAAAAAGAATTCTCATGATATTTTTCACCGTCCGACAATTAGTTATCTTCCTTCAATCTTCGAAGCCAGGCATTGAAAAAATCCTTAAACGATATTTGGGTTTATGGACGAGAAGAGATGAAGAGAAAGGGGAATGGGTTTAGTTTTCATCTGCTCTTTCCTAAGCATTCATATCTCTCCCGAAAATGTTTCTTTGGACAGAAGAGGGAAGAGAAGAGGGAGAAAGAAAGAAATGGGCACCTTCATTTCCGCTCTTTTCTAAGTTACTTAAAATGTCCCCGAATATGTTCTTTCTGAACAAGGAAAGCTTAAAACAAAGAGAGAGAGAGAGAGAGAGGGAGAGAAAGAGAGAGAAGGAGAGAGAGGGAGTGAAATGAGCTCCTTTATTTCCGCTCTTTCCTAAGGTGGCTTTCTAAAAAAAATCTGCCTTTTTTCAAGAAACTTATAGTGTCGGAACAAGGTAGGCATAAAACAAACCTTGGCAGCACCTCTTCCCCCTTGATGTCTGTCATTGGAAAAAACCCAAAACAAAAAAAACCAAACATTTTTTTCAAAATTCATAAATTTAAATGTCTAATTCAGAAGAACCCTTTCGTTTGCGCAAACGTTTTCGTCACGAAGAGGAGGGAGAAATTGTCAGACAACACCGAACTTGGAATAAAAATATAATCGATTTGGAAACGGGAACCTATTTGGGTCGGACACCGAAACGTTGGCTATATCTACTACTCTTCTTTCTGGCATTCTACAGCTGTTTGGCAATTTTGTCAACTCTTTGCTATGTATCCTTTCGTCTAACTCTGGCACGTGATAAACCCAAATGGCCGTTGAAACAACCAGGATTTAGCTTTGAACCCAATATAAACTCCGAAATGAATATTTTCTATAATCCCCACAATGAAGATGAGGTCTCAATATTTGTGGAACACATAGAGAATTCCTTGAGGAAATATGGCGATATTCCGGAAAACTATTTTGGAAACTGTTCCATTTCCGAGGAGTTTGGTTATGCCCAAGCCAGACCTTGTGTATTCCTGAAAATAAATCGCATAATTGGTTTTAAATGTGAAACCATTGAAAAGCCGGAAGATCTACCACCAGAAGCTCCCCCAGATTTACATCGCTTATTGACAGAAATGTCTGAGGAAAATCGCCAGGGACGCATATGGGTATCGTGCCAATCCAATCCATCTCTGCTGCTGGTATATTTGCCCCAAAGGTTTTTCAATGCATCCATTGTGAATCTTTCAAGAATTGTGGAAAATAGAGCGGTAAAGGAGCCCCGTGGTTATGCGAAAAGAAATTATGCCAGATTTTATAATACCACGGATTTTCAACGTATTATAGCTGTACAGATTTTAAATGTAATTAGCAATGTCAAGTATTCTATTTTGTGTTCTCTGTGGGCCAAAAATATTGAACGTGAAATTCATGTTAAACAGGGTGACCGGGGCAGTATTTCGTTTAACTTGCGCCTCAATGAAGGGTGAATGAAAAAAACGTATTTTATTTTAAATAAAAATTGGACACATACTGAGTTGCTTTGTCTACTGGGATAGAAATCTCTAAAATGACGACATTATATCGCTCCAAAAATCAACTGTCAGTTTCTCGAAAAAAATCTGGAACACAATTAGAATAATTTAAATAAAGATTGTTTTAATATTCATTATTGAAAAATATTTAAAAAGAAAATTGATTGTCGATATTGATTAAAAAAAACAATTACATTTTTAAAAAATTCAAAATTTAAAAAAAGCAAAAAAAATAGGTGCTAGTCCTCATTATTACAAAAATAAAACATTTCCCTTTTTTAAGAAATTTAATAGAAGTCTACAAGTGTTCCTTGAAAAAATAAAATATTTGCCATAAATCCTTAAAAATTCGCAAATAATGCTTAAATTTTTTAATAGTCCATAAAAAATATATCGATAAATCCTTAAAAATATTTCCAAAATCACTCTATCAGTCCTTAAAATATAGTCTTAAAAATCCTTTAAAATGTTCCGAAAAAATGATGAATATGGGTACTGAAAACATATACAACATATTATTTGGAATCTGTTTGAGTTTGGTTTAAAGTGAGAGTAGTAGATTTAGGTTTCACCAAACTTCATGTTGGGTGCCACTTCGGCTATTGATGAAGATTTTAGTAATATTTTCTTAACGTATTAACACTGTGGAAAGATAATATATCAAATTTATAAACAGTTTGAAACAGTCTTTATATTTAAAGCTTTTGTTGGGCGCCACTTAAAAAAATAAGCAATAACCCCAATTTTATATCGGATGCGAACAAAAACTCAATGATTTGAAGAGCCTTGAGCTTTTTTAAGATTCCTTTGGAATCTGTTTGATCTGAATTTAAAATAATTGGAGAAGATATACATTTTACCAAGCCTCACGTTGGGCGCCACTTTAGCCATTTTTTGAAGATTTTAGCAATATTTTCTGTTCGGATTAATACAGAAAAAAAGATAATATTTTAAAATCTGATTCAGACTTTTTGAGATATGGACTGTACTTATGATATTAAGGATACTCATTGCGTTTCCAAATTCAAAGTTTTTGTTGGACGCCACTTCATAATTAAGCAAACCAATTTTAAATTGGACGCCAACAGAAACCCAATGGTTTGAAGAGCCGTGAGCTTTTTGGTGATTCCCTTGGAATCTTTTTGAGATTGGTCTAAAGTGATTATATAAGATTAATATTTCACAAACCCGCATGTCGGGCGCCAATTCAACAATATTTGAAAATTTTAGCAATATTTTCTGATCGGATTAATACAGGGGAAAGTTAATATATTAAATTCTGATGCAGATGTTTCAGATTACAACCGTTGGCATGATATATAGCCTATTCGTTGTGCTTCCACATTTAAAGTTTTCGTTGGGCGTCACTTAAGCGAAACGTGGAAAAACTTCAGTTTTAAATTGGACGCCAACCGAGACCTAGTTATTTGAAGAGCCGTGGGTTTTTTGGCGATTCCCTTGGAATCATTTTGAGATGGGTTCAAAGTGATTATAAAACATTGACATTTCACCAAACCGCACGTTGGGCGCCACTTCAATACTTTTTTAAAGATTTTAGCCATTTTTGATCGGATTAATGCTGGGAATAGATCTAGATCTAAATCTGGGAAATTCTGATCTAGACTGTTTGAAATAGGAACCATAAATTTTTTTGAAGTTTTTGTTGGGCGCCACTTAAAAATTAAGTAAATCGTGGAATAAACCAAATTTTATATGGGCCGCCCACTGAAACCCACTGATTGAAAAAATAATTTACTTTTTGTTGATTCTTTTAGGGTTGATGTGAGCTGTGTTTAAATTCGTTATCGAAGACATTCACGTTGGGCGCCATTTCAGTCATTTTGAAAATTATATTAAAATCTGATTCCGGTTGTTTGAGACATAAACTATAATCATGATATCCGTAAAGACTCTCATAGCTGTAGCAATGACTTTCTGAACATGAGAAAATATTATTAAAAAATGAATGCATAAAACTCTCATAGTCCTTTAAAATTCCTCTGTTAGCAGTAGTAAAAAATATCCTAAAATGCCAAAATAATAAACGTGTTAGTCATTCAAAACGATCTAAGGTTATAACCCTGGTAGTCCATAAAAATTCCTGGTTTAAGTCTAATAATCCTTGAATAAATATTCTCAACAAGTCCCCGAGTATAAATCTTATTATCCTATTAAAGGACAATTACAAAACTCACGATTATAAATCCAATAAAAAATATCCTTAAAAATTCAGGAAAAAAGATTTAATAGTCCTGAAAAAAGTATTCATGGAAATTTCACCGGGAGCCCTGAGCAAATCTCGAATACTCTTAAAAAATATTCTTCAAAATTCACTATTAATAAAATATTTGCCCAAAATCCACCTTCCCTCAGGAAATATAGTAAAAAATTGTGGCTTTAATAGTTCCTGGGAAAATAATTATGAAAAATCTGCGAAAAAATGTATTATAAAATCCGAGATTGTATATTCGACAGTCCTCCTTAAAATAATTTATTAAATATTTTTAAAAAGTTTCTTACAAAATTTCAAAGTTCTTAGGAAATTATTTTAATAAAAATTCTTGAAATGTTTAAAAAATGTCAATACGTTAATAAATAATTTATTAACAAAACTTAAAAAATTAATTCTCTCTTTTTCTCTTTTCTAGGTAAGTTCCATTGTTGTTACAAATAATAAAATTCTGCAAATCTAAGTAAGTCCCAATGTTATTTCTTAATTTTTAACCCAGCCAAATTTTAATTATTAGTTTAGAGAGTGCGCTAACAAAGGATTCTTCAGAAACAAAAATAATATCCTTTTTCATAATCCCCCCAAAAAAAAACCGCGCGAGCCTTGTTCAAGTATTTAATGTTGCAGAAACAAAACATGCACTTTTGGAACAACTTTCTCTATAAAACGCTCGCCGAATGTACACAACGTCTAGACTTTTGACTTGACAGGATTTTTGTTTTTATTTTTTTTTTTTTTGGGAGTGCATTGCATATATCCTTTTGGGAATATCCTTTATGGCATACAATTTAATTTTCTTTCTCGACATGCATCACCTCCTTCTTTTTCTCGGACTCAATGAGATGCGATGTGGGGAGGGAGCGACTTACTCAAACCACTTGCAAAAAATGTTGTTTAATAACATCCTCATCACTCTGACCAGCCCAAAATTTCTTTTTCTCAATGAATGTGGGATGGGTGTGAGGGGGGAGGAGGAGGAAGAGAAGGGCCTGTAGTGCCAGTAGAATGCAGGCGCCGCCAACGTTGTCTTTTACTTTAACTTTATTGTTTCTTTCACAATCGGTCTAAATGCAAGCAACCAGGCGGGCTGGCGGACTGGCAAGTACGCCGCCATATGTACTCCAGAGGCAAAATGTAATTATGAATGCGAAACAACAAACATAAGCTAAAGCCAAAGCCAAGCTAGAGCCAGCCAAAATGCAATCGCAGACAAAACAACGATTTTTATAAGTTTGCATTTTGACGACTCACACCACAGCTCGGCGCCGCTCAGCGCATCAAAAGTAACCTCAAAAAATGATTGCAATATGGCCCAGTCAAGCTATGGCCAACACCAGCAGCTGGCAGTCCACGGCCTCCCCATTTAATTCAAAGGAATAAAACACAGCCCCCAAACACTCACACACAACGCCTTCTCCAATGATGTCTGAAGTAGAACATTGACAATGCAGCAAATGCAATTGCTGCGTATCAGTGTGAGCGTGAGTGTGTGTGTGGCTTTGTGTAATGCATTTCGCCAAAGAAGACTGAAATGCACCAAAAAAAAAGCGGTTGTTTGGCCAGTCAAACATAACGAGTTCTCCAAGTGGCGAGGAAGAAGCCCATCAATGATAAGTAACCCAACCAAGACTCCAAAAAACCAAAAACCCTGCAGTTGGCCCCAAAATATAATACTCAAAATTCCAAATACAAAGTGCATAAGACCCTCACACGCACACACACATATGCACAATGGCACACTTGCATAGAGACTCTCATCTATTTTTTTCCAAATAACAAAAATAAACAAACAAACATCCTGCCCATCCGTTGCACTTGGCCAGAATGCACAATGACCGCCCACACCCGGGAGTTTCTTTATTTGCCAAAGGAAGCAATACCAAATCAAATGCATATGTGTTGCATTTGCCAACACTTGTGGCAAAAGCGGCCCAAAAGGATACGATTTATAACATTTGCTCGTTCGCTCGCTCGTCCGTTGGTTTATTTGTTGCATAGAAGTGCATGAACGAAACTTTTTTGAAGGATATGCCTGGCAAACACGCACACTCACACACGTACACACACGAATATCCGGTGGAAATCTAAAGCAGTTCAGCTTTGTTTTGTTTCCTTTTTTCAATTTCACAAAATCAAACTCATAACAAACAAAATCCATTGGTCTTATCCTAAAGCACCCCCAGCTCCTTCTCCTCTCTTCCCTCTTTCTCAGCTCATCCCAAAGGAGGTTACACCTAAGTATCCTCCATTTTTTTGTTAATACAACCACGCACATCAACTACTAGTATTGTGGTTCGAAATGCTCACTCTCACCAAACACGCCCAACCCCACACAGCCAGCCAGCCACTACAATTATCTGTTTGTAGCAGACCAAGGCTAATAAACGCAAGTTGTATTCCTTTATGGAGCCACATGTGCAGGATGTGGATGGTTCCACAATATGGTGGCACTGACATTGATGAACTTTTCAGCACTTGGCAAAAGAGGATATCTTGTTTTAGCAAGCCGATTTTCGGAGACAATTGGAAGGTTATTTTTATTTTCCGCATTTTTTTGTTGTTTCTTGGCGTCTGTTCAGAAAAATGCCTCTATTAAAGCCAGAAAATATTTTTGATAGGTCTATGGCAACTTCCAGTCATAAAAACCTCGTTTGTGTACCTTGAACTGGGAATTAGCTTAATCTGTCCCATGTTGGGCGCCATACATAGTTGTTCCAAAAACGTGCTGATTCTTGGATCCAGTATGGATTTTGGAAATCTAACATATT